CTAAAGCTGTTCTTCAACAGCACTGTTGAAAGTCACTGTTATTGCACCACGTTGGATGTGGTCTGGGACAGAGCGAAAGAACATTAACATCCAATCTTAGAGGTCTCTCGTCATGAATTATGTTTCCATACCCTGACATGTAGCTATACATGAAATGCCATATTCCTGATGATTTCTTTTTTCACAAGTTACCCTAGTGAAAGAAAATGTATCTGTTAGTGTATCCCTTAGGGTTTTTTTAAGACATTCATGAATGTTTCCGCTGGATCCCTTGTTGGACAAACCGCAACTAAAGAAACGTATTAAAATTGCCATGCTGGTGGTAATTTAAGCTTGATTTAGAAGGCTGCTGTGGAGGTATTTTACAGTAGTCTCACAAGAAGGATTTGTGGCATTGCTTTTAGCGACATTATTGTGTCGTTTGTGTTCCTTTGTGCTTCAGTTCCAACCTGAGCGAAGTGACAGAAACAAACAAGGGTTGTCCTCACATGCAGAGAGGTTGCTGGTAGGCTACTGATTTTTCTTTCCTTAAAAGATTAAATGGGCAATAATGCTAAATTTTTAAAACAGCCTTATGAAAGACATTATACGAAAACTTTAATGTCAAAGCAATTATTAGAAAGATTGTAAAACCTTAACTGAAGGATATGGAAAGGCCACTATATGAAATGTCACACCTGTATATCAATTTCAGTAATTCCCTAATGGTAATAGATATAGTCAATGACAGTTTCTGGCAAGTGAAAGCCATCTGGAAAATTATACTTTTTTTTTTTTTCCCCAGAACTATTGGAAAGCAACCATGGAAATTAGTCACCTTTTAATCGGTGGTTATGTTAGCAAGTGGCAAGTGACCATTCTACCAAGAACTGATTCCCAAGTGGAACATACCTCAGTGCCTTTTCTTTAATTAACAGCCTTTTCACCTTGCAAGTGCATTAAAGCCATTAGAAAGAGCTCCCCATGCTTATATAATCAATTTTACAGTCTTCCAAAATGAAATAAATAATTCTGGCTTTACCCTAAGAGAAAACCTTTCCCTGAAAACTATCACCTTCATAAAGATAGATTTAAAAAAAAAAAAAAATCTAAAAAGGGAAAAACTGGAATGTGGTCTCATGAGGATAAAAAGGCTAGTGTTAATAATTAACAAGGAGAGTGAAGTGGAGTAAATTAGCCATAATAGAGCCCACAGTGACTGGCAAAGTCACCTCTCATTATCAAAAAACTCATTAGGAAATGAAGAGGTGGAAATCCCACTGGGTTATTCTCACTCTCCGGCTATATCAGAGATTACTTTTCAGATTTCTTTCAAATGAAGAACTGTTAGGTCACCATATTGCATATTAGGTTAATCTTCAGTGAAATTTGGAGGACTGACACCTGCGTGTTATTCTATCTCAAGAGCTTTAAATGAGCTCTAAATCTTAATGCAGGAGTCAGTTTTCACGTAAACCTGACATGAGCGAACTCCTAACAATAAAGAATCAATCTAACATTTACAGCATTAAAGAAAACTTACATGTAAGACTATTTTTATAACTATGTCACTAAAATACAATGTTAAAAAGACTGTGAGGTAATGAAAATGCATAGACTTTGCAATTCAAATATATCAAATGCATTATTTTACATAGTATACAAAACATTGTACAAGAGTCAAGGCGAATACTTCAAAGCCAATATTCATTTAACAATGAGGAAAAAAAGCATTTTCCAATACAGCGTATAACTTTTCATGAAGTAAAATGAGGAGGACTGAAGCTTCACATTTTTATTATGAAGGACTCCATTTGGAGTCAATTTAAGCTTCTCCATTTTTTTCTGACCTTATTCCACAACAATTAAAAGTTCATCAGTGTGTTCATCGGTGACTGCTTTCCTGTTGACTCTAACTTAAAAAAAGTGGATGGAGGAGTATGGTCTTCCTACCCTATATAATATTTCAGCTTTTTTGAAAAGAGCTAAAAAATAATAATAAGTGATTTTAAAAGTGACATTTACTGTCGAGATGAATAATAGATTGTCGATAAATTCATTGTGATTTGTCAAAATGTAAGGGTTTGAAAAAAATACTGTAGCTGCTTTTATAGTATCCATTTTAATGATCTCCAAAGTTTCTGTTGCTCATACACAATTATGCCTGACTGTGAAAAGCTTTGCAGATTTTACAGAGATAACAGTACCCGTATCTCTCTATGATAGCGAAATTATTTTTTCCAGAATTGGGTATTCATAGAGGGGAAAAGGACATGGTTGTCCCAGGATTGTATCTTATGGTCTGTAACGACCACATTACTTTTTGTCCACAGAGCCTATAAATTATGTTATGAAGGGGCCTGCTCTAGAGGGAAATTTACTTTCTGTAGTTTAATTATTCAGATTAATCAGGTTTTTAGTGCCTCAGGACATGTATTAATTCTTCATTTAAGACAGTGTCAGAGATCTCTTTTAGTGGCATGTGCATAGTTACATGAAGTGTCCGTATATTTGGCTTATTTTTGAGGTTTTTCAGTTGTATGTACAGTATTCCATATTTGTTAATGCCTGTCTACCACTTCTGTACCAGAATTTATATATAACATCATAGCCCCCATCTTAAACTACAAGGTGAAGATAGAAAACAGTTTCGATTTAAGGTAGTCAGGGCAAAGTTTATAACTGCACATAAAGATACCTTTCATCAAACCTTACACTTCTTATTAATTGTAGCTGGAATTTTTTCTTAGATCAGGGACTTAACGATATTTGCTCCTATTAGGAGCAGCTTTGAAATAATAACCTGCCTTCAATTTAGAGCTACATGTTTTGGCTACTGATACTGAGAGCTAACTCAAGCTGCATAATTGCTTACCAGAATATCCGGTAACCTTTTTGACTGAATGGGCATTTTAAGCACATGAAAATTGTGCAATAAGCCGTTTGTGTCACTCTGGCTTGCGACGATGAAGTTCTTTGCCGTTTCATTGCCAAAGTTCTGGCAGGGAGGGAAATTTTTACTTCTGAAATAAATTTTAAGCTTGCTTCCATGTAATGCATTTCTAAAATTCACTTTTAAAGTATGTCCTGTATGTAAAAATACACAACAATTTATATACAAGCTGAGACACTTGCAGTTTTCACCACAATTTAAATAACTGATTAATAAATGCTCTGTGGGGGCAGAATGTAACATAAACAGGCAATTAATGGAAATATAAGCTTTCTTTTTTCAGGTTATTGGATGATATTCAACTGCCACAAATACAATATGGAGCCCCAAGGAAATTTCCTTCTTGAAATACACTGTTTTTATCTTGGATTTAAAAATATGCCAGGAAATCCAAGTGGTGCCTTCCTGAGAATCTTATGAGGAGCAGGATAATTATAGACTGCCTGCCAAAGTGCTAATTTTGTCAGTGGTAAAGAGACTGGTGTTAATCTGTGTCATTCTTCCTTTCCTTTGATTCTGCAGAAGCCCTTGAGGACAGCTTAACACGCTGACTCCAGGATAACTCCTAAACTTTGCCTGTATAAGCAAAGCAAGCCCCATGGCTTCTGTTGCACACAAGCACAGTAGATTCTGTTCCTGCTATTAGAGGAGAAACTTCATTCCAGTGCTGTGTTATTAGACTGTACTTTTCATCTCTGGTCTTTTCTTGTCATATTTTAATATATTTCAGCTACCTGATATGTAAAAGTTGAATAACTTTCATCTTCAGCTTCAGTATTAGGAACGTTTCGTTTGGGGATCGGTTTCTGTTCCTGCAATCTGTTTTCCATTTATATTGTATAGGCATTGGTTTGCCCTGGCATAGGCTTTCATTTTGTTGTTGTTTGTGTTAATATGAGATGGCTCATATGAAGAGGGTGTGGGGTGTCTGTATTGACAAGGCAATGGAGAATTAAGCTACATGGCTTTGAAGACAAGTGGTAGTTGAGGGATTTGAAGTGTGGCATTTCCTCAAGGATCTCTTGTTTCCCATCTGCTTTGATGCACAGGTGGTACCTTTTGGCAAGATCAATTCTAATCATAGGGTAGAGTGCCATGAGTCTGCTGATGATACTTAGCTATATCACTTACCCCTGTGCGCTGAGTTCTTTCCCTGCCCTACAGTAATCCTTGACCGAGGTCTCCAGATGGGTAAATCAAAGCTGCTGTGTCCTCAGCCCTGGGAAAACAGAATGCTCACCGAGTTGTTGATCCGAGGCAGCACTCTTGTGTCTGTGCCAACGTACAGAGGGGTCTCTGCGGAGGCGCAGTCAGATTACGAGTCTTGGCGTCATTGTGGAAAGTTTCAGTTCCCTGGAAAGACTGCTGTCGGGATGTTAGGAAAATGATTCAGCTTTTTAAGTTAAACAGTTCTTATTGCCTGTGACTTCTTTAAATTTCGTTCTGAGTTTGGAATAACAAGAGTCACCCTTCTGCCCATGAGGCTTTATTACTCTAATTCCCAGAGCAGGGCTTGTAGCAGAGCATTTCTGTGGTGTGCTCAGAGAACAGTAAACTACAGGCTCACCCCTTTGAGTAACCGTGATTGCCTGATTAATGCCAGTCCTGCAACTGATTCACCATAAAGCAGTGAAATGGACTTAATTGACACAGTTGTGTTGTTCTTGTTGTTTTTAAGCTCAAAGTTGCCTTGAAAAATCAGCCTAATATGTAGCTTGATACCAGCCACCTCTTATTTCTCAAAGGCAATGTTCATCAGCTGTTTACTGTGAAACACACAGCATGTAGGCAAGCTTCCACACCTTTGTGTTAATATCCAAATCCTTCTCAGTTGTTAGCATTACTGATCACAGATGCTGCAGTTTTAAGATATATAAATATAAGGGAAAATAATACTGTTTTCAGTGCCTGATATATGAATAATTAGCTAGTTAACAAGCAGCTCTATGAGCACTGTAAATAATGGAGCATGTTTGTAATGGACTCAGGTGCTCTCAAGGGTGGATTCTCAAGTGTTTAATAAGAGATGAGCCTATGCCACTGCCTTTTTCTCAGTGGAAACCCTAATAATCTCTGCCTGCTACCTAGCTGCCTGTTCTCATAAAGTTTCATGTATCTGATATCCCCACCCCATCTGTGATATGCTTGAAATTAGCTAAAAGTTTCAAAATTCTTAACAAGAGAGAGGCCTGATTGCATTAGTATTGTTTTCCTTAGGTAAATGTGATTGATACATAATTTCTCGTTACTCTACAAGGATGATTTCAAGAAAATAGTTCTTGCTTTCAGATCAGTGTATTCAAGGGAAAAAAATAATATTAGTGTCCAGACATTCAGCAGCAAAGGCACTTCCTTGCAATACAAGTAGCAATAGGGGAGTGAAACTTGATGACACATTTCCCTCATAGTCACAATCTCTCCTAGGTTCAGTTTGTGGTGGACATCACTCAGGCATGGAAGGCAAAGGAGTTTCTCGAAGTTACAGAAATTATTTTTATATGTTATACACGGAGTTGTACCAGTAGAGAAACAAGAGGGACTGTAAATTTATGAGATGGTTTCCAGGGTTTTGAGCCCCATGATCCAGCCTTTTCTTCTCAGGAGGAGGAGGAATCATAGAATTGTTTAGGTTGGAAAAGACCTTTAAGATCAAGTCCAACCATTAACCTAACACTGCCATTCCACCGCTAAACTATGTCCCTCAAAATGCAGTTCTGGTACCCATCCAAATCAAATGAGAAGCCTGGATGCAGGAATAGGTGGGAGGAGAAACCCACAAGAGAGTTTAAAACAACAAAATATGGGTGGGAGAAAAGGAGGGCTACTAAAATCATGAAAGCTTCTCTCTGTGGCTCATCTTGCCTGTATGATTTCCATGTACACATGGGAATATTCTTATAGGTCTTAATAATAGTGCTGGATTAATGGGTGAACACGTCCACATTCAAAACATGAAACTGATATACTCCCTTGGTGGGACATGACATTAGTGTGCTAAGAGTTAGGGTTTGCTAAGAGAACATTTCAGGGACTACAGGTATAAACAGTAGTGGTGGCAAACTAATTTTCAGGTTGTAAGCATCTTCAGTTTGCATTGTGTATACAGTTTTTCATGTAGTAAATGCCATCTGTGCAGCAGATAATAATCTGCTGCTTATAGCTACTTTGTTTTTCTTGAGTGACATGCTTCATGCCTATAGTACGCTTACCAGTCAACTCCATTTCTTTCAAAAAGCAAGGGAGCATCTCTAGGTCTGTTACACGTTGTCAGCTTTCCTAAGCACTTTAGGCATCTAGTTTAAAGGACTTCCTAGAAATAGTTATAAAATGACACTTGCTGTAAAGTTGGAGATAATCATACCAGAGAATTAGCAAACTTCCAGAAGGGAAGTTAGAGTTAGCGTCTTTAATTTTGCAAGACAGTTGAGAGGGCACAGGAGAGGCAAGCGTGGCTGCTGGGGCTGTTTCACATGAACACGGACTGGCTGGGAGGTACTTTTGTTCATGGGGCTCTTGATGACGTTTGTGCACACGTCAGGAATGGGAAAAGCCAGGATTCTGGTGGTGAGCCTTCAAGATTTTTATGTATGGACATGCATAGGCATACCAAGGTGTGTTTTCTCTTCAAGAGCTCGTTGAATGTCCTGAGTAGCTATAGCCAGTTATTCAGGACTTTGCCAGCTCCTGGGGACACAGCAGATGGGTAAACTTTTCTTGCTGCCCCAAACACTCATATGTCACATATTGCTTTTTTCCTTCAAGCAATCTGAAGGAAATGCTGTGTAGCTCCATATTTTTGCTCATAGCCTGGTGAGGCTGGAATGTTTTACTGTAACCTTTGTTCTTCTTAGCACAAGGAGAGTAAAAATAATTGAATGACATTCAAATAGCGTTTGTTTGGGTTGGGTTTTCTAGTCTGCCTTGGTGTCTTAAGTATTGAACAAAATTGCTAAGGTTTAGATTCAGCGAATTATATTATTAATTTTAAGAAGAGGCAAAAGTGTTCTGGTGCAACAAGGAACTTCAGTACGTGCATCATTTTGGTAACAGTGGCAGTTTAAAATACACTGCAATGTCCTCGTGGAGCACTTCATTTATCTTTTATGAACTGTATTTCCTACACAAGCTGGGTCTTGTTCTTGAAATGCTTTTGTGTACTAAAACGTTCTAAGAGATACTTTTTCCTATAGCAAAATAACATAGGGAAAGGCCTGACTTTTTTATTTGTGCTTTGTTTGTTTTTAAAGCGTTTTTGTGCAATGGAAAGTTTCACAAGCATTTGCAAGAAATTTTTGTTCCCATGGTCATCCGCTACATCGATCTCATGGAGTCATCAATTGCCCAGTCCATTCACAGAGGTCTTGAACAAGAGTCATGGCAACCTGTCAAGTAAGTGCTTTCTACAAGTGCTTTCAGCAAGGCACCTGCCTATAGCTTTCTGTCTAATCAGGTGTTCTCCCCCGTTGTCCTCTAAATATTCTATTTTTTATTGTATTCCTACATTGTTTATTTCTTCACAGGAGCATCACCAACAGTCTTCCTAATGTAGCTCTTCCAAAAGTTCCAAGTTTGACTCTTAATCTTCCACAAATACCTAGCTTTACTACACCAACCTGGATGACTTCTTTGTATGACTCCACGTGTGTATTCTTCAATACCCTTCTGACTGTATGTCAGCTCTGCATGGCCTTGCTAGTGTTCTGTGCAGCTGTATTTGGATTGCATGGTGTTTATGATCTCTTAGTTGGAAATTACTGTTTCTTGGGAGTGAGCCAAGCATGGATTGTTAGTGAGTTGCGCTTTCCAGTGCATTAAAATGTAGCACTCTTAAACCTGGTAACTTAGAAAATGAACTTGGCAAAGGTCTGTCATAGTATGAATGGTGTTTAATACCCTAAACAACCAAATGATTCTTCTGAATTAATAAGCAGTGGGGAACCTTTTGGATAATTGATTTTCGATCGAGGTTTTGTAAAGTGAGGCAGCCCATCATATTTTTGCATGGGTTTGATTAACTCATTGTATATAGATATTGGTTCTGAAAATCATTGATTCCAAATATTGTCATTAGATTAAATACCCATGATACAGGGAAATAGTAAAAGGTTAATAAGTACCCAGAAAAGAATTACCTCCATTTATTTGTTTTTTTGAAAAAATACATATTTCTTTTTTATTTCTTCCCAACACTTTGGTGCTCTTTTCTTAAAAAGAAAAAAATTAAAAATAGACCAGACATGCCCTGTTCTGTGGGAGTATTCCCATGGTTATAGGCCAGATTTCTGTGTGAGGACACATTCATATACATTAGAGAAAGGCTTAAGAAGAACCTTAAAGTTTTATTAGGAAAGCATGAATCTGAAAGACTTCAGAAAACACACGTTCAAGATGCAAAGCTTGATAATACGATTTCCAGCCAAGTATTGCCTTCTCAAGTTTTATGACACAGTTAAACACTCGTAACAAGCACTCAGATCCATTACTGCAAGAGCTGATAGTTTGTGCTCTGCCAGACTTCTGGCACTTGTCTGTTGAGTATTATGATCGTTGTTCTGCTGCTAATTCCCCTAAAAGTTGACAAAACTCCTCTTAATCCTCAGCTTTGGTACCTTTTGTGTTTACTAGAATAATGCTAAGTTTCGCCTGATGTGCTTATGCAAGTCATTTCAGCTTTGAACACAAACTAATTGGTCTTCTGCTACTCAGTTCCTTCCTGTTATCCCCATCCTTTCAAGGGTTACTTTTTTTTTTAAAGAATAGCTTTCAGAGTTAAGAGTTATTATAATCTTAGATGTGTTCATCTTACAGTCTGTATTCAAGCAGCCCCATCCAGTAAAAATAACTCATACACATTAAAATTCATGTATTTTGCATATTGAGTTAATAATTAATATCCAATAAATGTGGATTCAGGTTGGAGGATTACAGTAGTAGATCTTTCCTAAATGACGGTTTTGGTGTAGGAATAAATTCCTAGACTGTATTGTCAAAAAATGTGTGAGTAATGATATTCAGCCATCAGCTCATCCCTGTTGCACATCCTCTGATACTGAGGTTCTTGGTGTGGATGGCAAAGTATGCATAACATCCCAAACTAATCAGTGAGGTTCTCAAAGCTTTGGGTGAACACTGAGGTTGACGTGTGCTGTAAGCGCTTGCCAGCAGTAACTGTTGCTCTGCTGCTTCTCAAGAGAGGTGGGGACGAGTGGTGTCCCCACTGCGGTGTGGTCTCTGTAAAGCCATCATCCCCCTTCAGCCACCCCGCACAGCATTTGAGAAGAGGTCTGCCAAGGTGCCGGCTCCATTATAGGCACCTCTTCATGTTCTTTTTCCCCAAAAGTAGAGCTTTGAAGTTGTATTTTATTAAATATGTATAAATTAACATTCGAGATTGCAGGTAGTATTGTTACCTTTGTAATACTGTGGAATTCAGGTAGTATTTTAAGAATCATCCTGCCTACATATCTTCGCAGAATGGCCATGTATTATTGCATTTTGAGGGGAAAAAAAAGTGAAGGCACTGCAAGCCAGTTATTCCTCCTCCCAAGCTAATGAGTTTCCTCTTTCCTGACGGTTACAGTGTCTCAGCTTCTGGCAGAAGTGGTGGTTTACTTTCACTGTTACACGAAAGAAAGAAGGAGGCTTTTACTTCCCCCACTGCTCCCATCCCATCCTTTCCAGGAAGAACAAGGCTTCCTCTTTCTAGTTAAATTCTTCAGTGGGGAGTAACCAACTACTTAGGCTCCAATACCTGTTAAGCAAAACCTGGTGCTTCCTGTCAGTTTTCCCTTTCAGTTTGATGAACACCCACCTTAAATGGACTGGAGTGGCATATTGTACCATACACAGAGTCAGTGGAAGCACCTAAATTCAGGAGCCTAGGCCCTGCTTTGTCAGACATTGCAGGTGGCTCCTTCTCCCCACTGACTCCCCCAAGTCTTTCTCTCCCGCTGTGCTCCCTCCTCCCAGCCCTCCCGGCTGATGCTTTGGCAAGAAGATGACTACGTATGTCACTAAATTGTGCTGGACTTCTCTCTTTCTCTTTGAAAGTGATGATTTGGGCCAATTAGTCATTATCAATTTGAATTGCACAACAAAGAATCTACAGGCAAAAGAAAGAGAAAATATGTGAGCTAACTGAGTTAAGGTTAAATGTTCACTGAGAATGCCGAGTCCTGTGTTTATTTTGGCTGCAACAGGAAGATTTCATATTCTCCAAACTTCACTGATGTTCATGTTCGTGCTCTTGTGTTCGTGTTTAAGTCCATTCATATTCAACAGAGCTGTTACATGCCTACTTAAGAACTTTTGCTGAAGAGAAAGAGGCATTCACAGTTAGGCATTTGTGTGTTTTATTGATGAAAACAGATTTTCCTCTCCTTCACATCAAAGGTGCTGCAATTCTTTTGAACATTACCAGAGGCGATTTTTTATATTTTTAATTAACTGTTGCAATTTATTTTTTCCTTGATCACATGTTTTGAAGCAGTAAATGTATGTTGCTTATAACATCACTTAGGAAGATCTTTACCTCATTTTCAGTTGTTTTGGCTTAACCTTTTATTATTGGGCATTGGAAAGGGAGATATGAATAGGGGAAAGTGTTATTAGTAGTAGTCTATTTTTCTTGATTGGTCTCAGGAGAGGACAACTCAGAGGACACCTTGGCTAGACATGCAGAGCACTGTGAGTTACTGTTCCATTTGGCTGAAGACAACATCCTGAAAGAGCAAAAAAGTTTCAGTATTCTGTAAAAGCTTTTAATCAGCCAGAATGAGGGGAGGGGTTTCATTGATTGTTCATTAATTCAAATACTTTAAATTGCATTTTTGTTCCACTTCATATTTTAAATTTAATTTCTGTGCCTCTTCTGGACCTGGCTTTTACGTTAGATTTGTGGGTGATTTTAATTGTTTATGGTTTCATTTATATATTATTTTCAGTGCAGACATGAGATAGATTCACTGATCAAAACCATTGTAGATACAGACCTGATGTGGTCTGTTGCTATCTAGTGCTGGTCTAGAACATCAGGGTTAGCAAAACTCAAGGCTGGGTTGGAATAAGATACATGCTTGCAGGAGGATGCTCCTGTCTTGTCTTCCATGCAGAACATGCGACATCAAAGGAAATGTGTCACCTATATCCTTCCTGCTGTGGCTCAGCTGTAATGAGTGAGAAGAGGGACTGGCTGGAGCAGTCACAGTGCTCCAACTGTGATATGAAGGGATGTGGTCTGAATGTGTCTCAGCTCCCGTGCTGGACCTCTCTGTGTGTTCATGCACACTGAATAAGTCAGGAGGCCAGCTCTCGGTGCTGTTTTGAGGGATTGCATCTGCGGTGCCCCCTATGTTCCTGCTGTAGTGCTTGCCTGGAGTAAAGTGGAAAGAGGCCATGGTTTGTATTTTTAAGGATGAGTATTTAAAAGTATAGCCATAAGACTGATGGAAAAGTGAAATTTAACTGATCTACTTTCTGCAGAATAAGGAGGTGTGAATATAGCTAGTTCCTATTGAGCATTCTGAAAGACAAATGTGTATTGTGGGCCAGATTTATTTTCTTCCAAAAATACTAACATGCAAGAAGAAGGAAGAATCAAGAAACATGTTTTGGTTGTTTGACCCTGAGGTTGCCTCACTCTTGAACTAAGTAGGAAGAACCGTGAGGCAACTCTGTCCCTAATATCTTTGAGGGACTGTACGCAAGCAGTTACTTGTTATGCCCAAGTACTAGTCCATCATTCCCCCTCATCTGCTCATGGAAAATAGAGAGATGGGGCAAGCACCGTTGACTCTGTAACTACTGAAAATCCTTTTCTCCTGAAGCAATTCTCAGTTGACTTTCTGAGCCCTGAATATACGTCTTGAGGCAGCATAAAGGAAGTAAAGCTAGAGCTCACAAGCTGGGGACTCACAAAGGACATGGAGCCGGTGCCCTCTTTTGTAAACAGTCCCCACAAAACACTAACGGGTAGTAGCTCAGTAATAACCTTAAAAAAAATAATTGCAGTAATTTATAAAATCACCATCATTGCCCTTGGTAAATTCTACAAGAATGAAAGACAGCTGATTTTAACTCGTGCAGTTGATTGAGAATGTCCTTAGATATTTAATATTTCTCCTGTATTTTCCTATCCCAAGCTACCCTATGGAGTTTGCCATCCAGGCAAGAAATGACATATTCTGTGTCTAGTCTGGAGTCATGCGTATGCTGATCTTGCAGCCAGTGTGCTTTATTAGTGGGCTGTTTGACTAATTGCTCCTGCTTAGGTAGCTAGCAAGCCTAGTGGGAAGCTGCCTCTCTCAGCTGTCAGAGCATAAGTGAATTGCTTAGGAGACTGTCACCAGCTCCTAAGTTTAATATTCTGCAGAGTCTTGGAGAAACATTGTATCTTGGACTTTTTTTTGCTGTGTTCAGAATGATGCAAAGCATAAAGCCATAAAATAATTTAGTTTAAAATGGACCTCTGGAGGTATCTGGTTCAATTTCCCGGTGAAAGCCTGACCAAATACAAGGTTAAATTGCTGCTAAAAAAAAAAATAGAATGCGCATAATATTTGCCTCTTTTAATCATTGGAAAACTTCTCTTACTGCCATGACCTGATTAAAAAGAGTGCACAACTAGCTAGTACCTTTTGCACAAAGAACTAGTGCTGAAAACTTAAGTTTTGGCCAGTGGAGTTTGTGCTTAATTTTAAAAATAGAGATCACTATCTTGAATACAGTTTTTAAAAAAAGGAGTGCCAGTTCAGTTTCCTGGTAGAGCAATATTATTCCATTCACTAGACTGAAGTACCTTTACCATACATGTTCAAATGGTAACTGTTCAATAGCCAAGAACGTGTCCTGTTCCTTCACGGAAGAATGGTTCTGCAATTATGGATGTAGATTCAAATGCTTTCATGGTTTGACTCAAATGCAGGAATTCCTCCTGCTGCCAGGAGGAGGTAAAAACTGGGTTTGCCTTTTCTTCATGTTACAATTTATGGAATATTAAACAGACTGTACAACCACTTCAGGGTATTGAGGTATGTGCTGACAATTAATGCCATTTCTTTGCTTTTACTGAATAAGGGCCAGGAAAAATCCTAAAATCCAAGTAAAACAAGTATCTGGTACAAATAACATTAACAAGTTGATTGAAATCACAGTTTTCTGCAGCATTTAACAAACAAATTAGACGTTTGTGTCTGGATGTGTGAACTAAGAAAAAACAGTTGCTGTTGTAGCACCTTATTTTCCTTCCCCATCTTACTAGTATAATATGTTAGTCAAATTCAGATGTCATTGGACAATGCTGAATAAAAAATTGAAGAATGGGACCTCAAAATTATATGAAAAGAGAATGAATGAATTAGTGTTTCTCACAGAATGAATTAGTGTTTCATGAACCTGTGTCTATTATTACATTTATTATAATTGTGAAACTTTATTTGGTAGTATAATGAAACCAAATTAAGTGGCTACCAGGGAGTGAACGTGCATAAGAATACATTGATGTTATTGACAGCACATTAGTCCTCCTGAGTCCTAAAGAATTTCATTTGGAACTCCATTAGGCAAAAAAGAAAAAAACTATGGAAGAATAAAATACAGTTAAATTGGATGATCTGATGCTGAAAAATGGTAGTTCAGTTTCTTGAGAAAGTATGTTTGGTTTTCTAGAAAATATGTGTCTTATCAGCTGTAATATATATACTAAGATTGTCCCCGTTTCTGTCTCTATATAATTTGTTGTCTTCTTTTACCCTAGTCATCTCAAAAATTGACTGTCACTTTTGAATCAAATATTGTGTATAACATAGCATCTACAACTTCACTCACTGCCAGCGTACACAGGAGATGTAATGAAATCTTCAATATTTGGTTGTCGTATAATTTAAGAAACAGTGCAACAGGATTATAAACTTTCTAAGAAGTGTTGGTGGCTTGTTATTTCTATTTCTTAATTAAACTTAGCGATGTTTAAAAGTGCTCCCTGTTCAGGTCCAACCTTAACTATGCGAGTTGTAATTTTAGCAGTCCCATGGGCCTTTTTCCTGTTTCTGCTGTTTTCTTTCAGGAGCACAATACAACGTAAAAATTAGCGATTACTATTTGAAATAAGTGGGGAAAATGTGCATGATATCAAAAAGGCTTGTCTGAAACTGCAGAATATCCTCCTTTGCATAGTGAAGACACCAAAATGCGCACTGTTGAAAACCAAGGCCAAAGTGGGGGTTGGCTGCTGGGAGCCAGCCTTTTCCGTAGGCAGGCACCACTGCTCCCAGCTTGTCACCCACTGCCCAGCCCTTGCTGGCTGCCCCCTTCGCCGGCCCAGCAGCCCCTTTTGGCTCAGAGATGCCATTACAGAAGACAGTGATGGCTCTGAAGTTGTGGTAGCGTTGAGGCAGCAGGGCCGGGGGGCAGTTGGGTGGGCCTGGAAGATGGCAGGGGTGCTGTGGGACCTACGCGGTGCTCCTGCTGCACCCTTGCCACCTCTTCAGAGCCCTGAACATACACTCCTGGCTGAGGGGTGCAATTAGGTGGTCAGATATTAGAGGTCCTTTCTATTTTTTTCGTTAGTTTTTTAACATGACCCTGCTCTGTTCTGAGCACACTCAGCACTCACTGACTCCTTCTGTGAGAGCTGAAATCCCTTAGCACTTTGATACTTATGTTCTTTTGTCATGAGGCAGAAGAAGGAAAATGGCAGTAGTGACATATTTAAACTATTTGGATCTGAATTGGGACTGTCGAGCTCTTTTGGTTGCTTGTGTCACTAACATCCTGGAATGCCATGCTGTGTGGCATAACTGTCCTTAAACAATAACCCAGGCATCGCAATACAACGCATCGTGAAAATGTAATTAATCCAAGATGACAGTGGAAGTGTAACTGTAGTTACTGCTAAGATTAGCCTTAAATTGCTGTATCTTATCACAAGCAAACGTCTTTAAATGTAGCAATCAGTCCAGGGTGGAAGAAGAACTTTAAAAGCACGTGGATGATCTGAGATGACTTAGAGCCATATTAATCCCCTGTATTGTTTGTGCATACATTTCTTTAAATACTTTGTGTTCTTTTTTTTTCCACGAGGATCTGACATTTTCCCTCAGTTAGAATTAATGAGCTTTTATCAAGGGACTCTTTGCCTGGGTATCTTTTCTACAATATTACTGCTAGCAACCTCATGTCTTTGGTAGGCTTATCTACCAGAGTAATGAGGGCAAGAAACATGTGCCAAGTCTTCACTGTTTAGAAAAGGTCCTTAACTATTTATAATTCCTGTACTCTTTTTTTTTTACCTGTCTTGATCTGAAATTTGAGCTACTTCATTTTCCAACTTCCCTATCATCCCATCTACCTCCCTAGCCTGTCATATTTATTTCTCAGCTAATAGATGAGAAAATTTACTTTTTTCATCCTAATGGGAATTATTTTAAATTTTCCATGACCATTTTCACATTCTTGGAATAGGAGCAACTGTGCTATGAGATACAGTGAAGTGAAGGAGGAAGATGGTGTGATAAGGAAATCTTATTACCTGAGATAATTCTAGGGCAACTGGGATAGACATCCATGCATTTATCTTCTGTTTCTTGGGGACTTTGTTTTGTTTTTTCTTATAGCAATGGCTCAGCTACATCAGAAGATCTTTTCTGGAAACTGGATGCTCTGCAGATGTTTGTTTTTGATCTTCACTGGCCAGAACCAGAATTTGCACACCATTTAGAGCAGAGACTTAAACTCATGGCCACTGACATGATAGAAGCCTGCGTTAAAAGGTACAGTTGAAATGATCAACTAAAAATTGGGAGAGATTTCAAAATTAACATAGGAACAGCCATACTGGCTCGCAGAGGTACATCTGCACCAAAACCCCGTTATAGGAATCAGTGCAGCTGTAAAGAGATTATGACTTGTGTGTATTTCCCAGCATCTGGCAATCAGCAATTTGGCAACATCTAGGAAATACCAAGGAGAATTTCTAAATATGTTGTGAATAGAGCCTTGGACATGAATAAACCAAATTTCTTTTCTGTTCCATGTTTGTGGCAAATAGTAACAAATCTCAGAATTCTCCTAGAAGTCCTTTTTCTTTTTGTACATTTCCCTTCTCCATTACTATATTATTCTTTATGTTCAGTTACTGGTACCACTTAATTTGTCATTAGAGTACTGTCCATGAGAAGTACATTACAAACTAAAGAGTATACAGCATTTCTGCGTTTATACAATAAACAAAAGAGGGCTATCTGTAAGTCATCCAACTGAAACTAAGTTTTCTGTCGCTGAGCTTCTGGAAATTATAGAAAATATAGTGTGCTTTTTTCTTGAGCTGTATCTTACAATTATGGGTATGTTCTTTCAAATTAAGCATAGGTGATCTAAGAAGATATCTGCCATAACTTCAGTACATGTCATTGAGTTTAGAAGAAATATCTGTATGTCTAGAAAATTTACAGTGATCTCCTATTAGGTGCTTCAGAAGCCATGATCCCACATACAGAGAAAGCTTAGTCTGGACACAAAAAAATACTGATATTTTAAAAAAAATAAGTAGAAGAATGGGCAAAAAATAAAGAAAGTTTGTAGGCAATTTAATAGCATCAGAAAATATACAACATTGATAAGGAAGGCTAAAGAAATAGACAACCTTTACCATCCAGTAAGGTTAAATCTGATAACATAGTATTTTATCATTTTATGTTAAGCTTAGTAGGAACAAGGAGAACCTCGGGCTTAGTATACGAGCCTGTTGCTACAGCTACAGCATTGAAATCATGGTAAAAAGGGCAGAAGCGTTTCACAAACATTCCTGTTTGATTTTGGGGGGTGATATAGTGAATGGACTAAAAGTTTAAGCTCTGTAGCAAAGGAAGATATGAGACAATATCAACTAAAATTGAAGTCATGTAAGCTTACATCCATCTGTTCTAAAGAATTTGGAGCAGAAAGTCAGCTACAAATATCTGACAAACCTTAGAAAAATGATGAAATCTCAAAGGACTGGAAGACAGTCAGTGCAATCTTAGTCTTAAAAACCATAAAAGGAATAGCATTGAGATGCAGTAATATATTGATTATATTGACTTCGAGCCTGGAAAAAAATGTAAAAAATCTTTACACTGGGATTCTTATTAACAGGACTAAAATGAAAATATGTATACAATTAGTACTAGTTTAAATAATTTTTTGAAAAATGAATCTTTTCAAATTCATCTTGTGTCTTTTTTAAAGATTATTACAGATCAATGTGGGAAAGGCAGTTCTGTTAATAAAAATACTTGGATTTCTCCTAGGCAATAAATCTAATGCCACATGCTGTCATTATCTAAAACTTTGCACCACACAGATTTGACTGTGTGGATTTTAATGGTGCACACAAAATAGGTTAAAATGGCTCACTGCCAGGATCACAACCAGAAGCTGAGAACAGAATTATTAACACAGAGGCATTACAAAAGGAATTCTTTATGGATCAGTTTTTGGTCTGTGACACCTAATCCTGACGCCTTTGCTGCTTGCTTTTGTAAAGAATAAGAAGATTCTGGTGGCAATAAATGAAGGTTTAATTGATATTACAGAATGATCCTAGTGTCAATACATCAAATGTATTAATATTTTAGAGTTAATAAGAGACATACTAGTGTTAATACGCTAAGTATGTTTTAGTGTGGTCAAAGATACCGTACACCAGGTAACAAAGAAAGTAAATGACATCCATAGGATGAATTGTATTAAACAGTAGCAACTCAGAGAAGACTGATGGAACTATTCTAGTCTAACTCTTATTCTGATACTAATATGATCTGTAATACTTTTTAAAATGGAAATAGGATGCTTCTGTTCCCATGTTCTTAAAATAGTGTCAGTTTCTGGCACCCGCATTTAAAAATAAGGTTGGAAATAAAACATTACTTTTACATTTAAGTATTCTGAACTATTATACTTTATTTCAGTGATGCTGCTCCTTATTTACACTAGTGTGAGAAGAAAATAGGGGGTTTGTATTATGTGTCTCCTGATACATCTTACTTTTCAATATAAATATTAATATTTGCTTAATAGTAATTCCTTTTCTTCAGTAACACGTTCTTTTCTCTTAAAGCCAGAAGAGGATTTTTTAATTACATTTCTTAGAAGCAAGTATTTGGTATGATAAACTGCATTTTAACATAGAAATGCTGGAAAATGTGGGGTATTTTCATTGCTTTAGATTGTTCTTAGTCATCATACAAGGAAGCGTATTGTTATCTAGTAGGCAAGAAGATAATACTTTTATTATTCAAGTGAATTAACTGAAGCAGTGCAGAACCTTGAGATTACCATCAATGCAATCGTTTATTGAATGGATGGATATTCTGTGCTTACAGAATTTTATTTCTAAGATGTTCTCACATGCACATACATTGTTTAGTAAAGTTGATACATTAAGTTGATACATCTGTACACTGGTTGTTCAGAATTATCAGAAGGACTCATATTATGAATTGTGTTTTAATAAACAGGACAAGAATTGCATTTGAACTCAAGCTGCAAAAGACAAACAAATCAACAGACTTGCGTATCCCTTCTTCTCTGTGTACAATGTTTAATGTCTTAGTTGATGCCAAAAAACAGACAGCTAAACTCTGCATACTGGATGGGGGACAAGAGGTAAGTGGAATTTTGTATGTTTAATTCCTACGTTCGGTTAATCTGAAACACCTCACACTGCAGAAAATCCTTTGTAGATAAATTTGAAACCAGCTGAAATGGGTCACGTAGCTGTTTGTACAGGAGCATGCATAGACTGCTCCCTAGAAGCATCATGCAAGACACAACCCCTCATCTTCCACCAGAGAAGACACAGAGTGCTTCTGTAATTTATTTGCTTTGACCTGTGAGTCTGTTGAACATTCAGAGGATTTCTTGACTCACAGCCCCTCCAGGAATTTCTCTTGGGTTGTAGCAGAGAAATAGCCCACTTCAGGACTCTTTTGTAATAGTAAAATAGAGCCAAAACATTGTCCTTTGCAGCCAGGCTTTAAATGAGTAAGGTTTGGTTTTAAATGGCTCGTATACCTGGCATTCATGCCTGTATACATGCTGAAAATAGAGGAAAGAAATAATCGGGTAATTTAATGGGATTTTTTATTTGGTCTCCAAGGACAGGGACCATTTTGGCAGTAGTCTGCTGCCAGGACTGTACATACTCCACAATAGAGCACTGAGGTGCTTCTGGAGGATGTTTAGACTTC